TCCCCACCCACCGCCACCACTATCCCATGCCCTGCTCCGCCCGCTGCTCCCCACCTGCAGCTCCAACATGACACAGTTTCGGCTGCAGGGCCGGACCGCATGCTGCAGCAGGAGCACCATGCAGCTGCCTGCTGGGTCAGGTTGGGTCCTGCTGTGCCGCGATACTCCCCCACCCACCCCCTGCCCATTCTGACCTGAGTTCCCCTCTTGTATGGAGCGAGGCAGGAACAGCCCCAGGGCCCAGGCCCGGACCCTCTGCTAGGGCAGAAGCTTCCAGCAGGGGGGCTGGGGAGGGAGGCTGGGCCAGTGGGCCTTGCTGCTGCTGGGTCCTGCCACCGTCTCTTCCTGGGTCCTGCTGCTGCTGGCTCCTGTCATCTTTGACAGGCAGTCACAGGCAGATAAATATTAATTTTTTAAATTTTTTAGGTGCCCCACAGGCTGGATAGAATGGCCAGGCGGGTCGGATGCGGCCTGTGGGTCATATTTTGCCCACCCCTGTTTTAAAGTAAAGAAACCAATGAAACAGTGCTGATGACAAGGGCAGACTGGCTCCTTCCTCCTTTTTTTATTTACAGCTCAGCCAGGACATTAGGGGGAGGCTGCTTACCTCAGAGATCTAATGGGGATCAAAACTGACTTCGAGGAACTTATTCGAAGAATTTGGTATAAGCAGCATCATTTCCTCTGGGTAGCTGCAAAACACAGTATTCATTGGTGCTAGTCACTCAGTAAGCGTCTCTTTATTTTTCCGTTGCATGGGGTAGTTGTTGGCTAATCAGTGTACTGAAAAAAAGCAAGTTTCCCCATTTTTGGTCATTAGCAGAGGAAGCAGCGGTGCTTTCCACAGCGTGCTCTACAGCACACACACTACTCTGAGCATGCTGTGGCGCTTAGAGACCTTTGGCACTCTACTAGGTAGGTTCAGATGTTTTCTTTCCATGCTTGCTTCTGGCTGTTGCGTTGCTGTTGTGGCCTCTTTTAAAAAGTCCCTCTTGTGAGTCGTTGCTCTTCTCTTTTGACAGTGGCTTGTTTATGATCAGAAGGAAAGGGGGGGCTGTCAGCTCCATGGGCTGTGTGGGGTTCAGTTGGAGCGTGCGTGTAGAAAGATACAGGCCGTTAGGAGACTGACTCACCCGATAGAAAAACAGAACTGTTTCATCAAACTGAAATTGTAAGGTGAGTTGAACGCTCTAGAACTTCTGCTAACCTGGGTCAGTGGAAACTGACAATGTCTTTCTGGGAAAATGTTCCTTCTACTGGAAACAAGTAAAAAGCAGAGTGAGAAACCGTTATGAAAATAGGTACTTGTTCCTTCACAGACAGCAACAGTTTGTGACAGGTTAAATGAGCACTTTCCTTTGGGTTTAAACTCTGTGGTTGCTAGATCCCCACTTGGGGAAGTGGTATAAAGCAAAAAGCAATTTTGAGGCTTTGATGGGGGACTGCATTTAGGGTTAAGTGGGTTTGGGGATTGAGAAATGGTAGTCTTTGCCTTTTAGCTGGCAGTTTAAGAGTCTGTGCCACTGCTAGCAGCTGAGGGATGCTCCTTTGTGTTTGTGAGATGAGCTCACTAAAGCTTCTAGCGAGAGAGAACAGCAATTACTAGCCAGTAGGCACTAGCTGTTGATGGTCACAGCAAAGTAACCTCAGACAGGAAGTAATGGAAGCCCTAGAGCTGATTCTTCCATCTTGGGGCTGGTTGGGATAGAGTAGGTGATGCTGAGCCCCAGGATGCACCTGTTCTAGGAAGAGCTGAAGGATCCAAGTCCAGGGCAGTCAAGCTGGAGCCTTTCACTGGCATTGAAGCCAAAGGAGTGTTTTGGTTTAGAGACATGCACTCCATATTTTTAAATGGGGCCAGGCTACTTGTAGAAAAGGTCTTGATTGATTTAAGGGGCACATGGGCTCCCTTGCGTACCAAAGGAACATCACCCAGAAGCTGCTTCTCCTTAAATATTGGAAGAAGCTAATGCTGAGATAAAATTCGCATGAGATACTTGTGCATTGCTACTTCCTGCTGTTGAGGCACCTGTTTCACAAGTGTGTGAAGTCAAAACAGGTGATCACCTGGGAATATAAACACTACTATATATATATTAGTGGCGTTTCATTTTAATCATGGAAAACTATGGATTTTGGGTTACTTTTTTAATTTGAAAATTAGGGATTTTTTTTTTAAAATCAGAGAAAACCAGGATCCTTGGTGATCACACATCTAAAAGCCATATCAGCGCTAACACTCTGGTTACATCTTTCAGGTGCTTTCACTGAAGCCACCCTTTAGGTGGCAGACAACTTGGAAGCTAATGAAACAAATGTGGACCACACCAGTTTTCTCCACAGTGTAAAATCTTCTAAGGTGTTTAAGTGTTTTAAGAACCTCAGTCCTATTGAGAGGTTTTACCCTGCATCACAGAAGGATACTGGAGAGTCAAAATCCTGTGAACAGATGTTGGTCCCACAATACCAGGCCTGAGAATTGTTCTTACAAATTAGCTTAGCCTCATTCACAGTGACTGTGGTACATTAGTTGCATTAATGACAGTAATGATTGCAGACCTGCACTGGGAGTATACAAGCCCATCATGTTATTGTGGCTACTGAGACATACCCATGGCATTTGGAGATAAGCAGCTCTTTGGCAACAGGAAAGAGCAAGTCAATTCTGTCCTTGCTAATTTTTGTGCAATCCAACCCCCGCTCGTTTAGACTAGGTCAAATAGGTAGATGGGAGGCGAGTTTGGTGCAGGATGCTTTGGCAGATTATTAATCTAGAGACAGATACAAAAATCTAATGCAGTACCAGATGAATAAAGATTCATTTTGAGAAAAGGTCACCACCAGCTCGATGACTTGTGCTAACTTACTATATAGTTCATTTAATCATATGCCCAGAAGTGAGGGCTGCATTCAGACCTAGTGTAGGTGGGGACATTTCCACTCATATCAGCGAGTTGTACATCCTTGTATTAAGTTTTGTTTCTTCCCACCTGGATGCCATGTGAGTTGCATCGTGAAGAATAATCGTGCTCACAAGGTGCTGAGCTCTGGCAATGGCCAGGTGTGTCCCGGCTTTTTGAACTGCTTGGAAATGGGATTTCTATCCCATCAAAATGTTGGAGCTAGGGACAGAGCGTTCCCAGGATTAGGCAAAATAGCAGACTCTTTTCTTTTTTGGTGGGACTGATATTGAGAAATATTTGATTCTGCATAGAAGCAAATGTTTCTACAGCCCAGTGGCCTGCCTGCTGGGTGGGTATTCTTCCCAAATCCCCAGCTATCCAGTGTGTTAGCTGCCTGGCTGCCTTGGAAGCCAGTTACCTATGGAGCAGCCCAGTGCTGGAGACCAGCTCCTTTAAAAGCCAGACAGTTCATTAGGCAGGGAGCACAGGAGCCAGACAGGCCAGAAGCACTGCTTGCTGACCTGATTTCTGCTATATGTTTCAACACAAGCAAAATGTTCATGCAGAACATTTTGACAATAATGAACCAGCATTTTCCAAATGGCAGCTGTTTTATTGGAGAAACTTTGCCCTGCTTTATGGGTGCTACCAGATGCAATAATTTCCCAGAGATTGTGTTTAGTTCAAGAACCAGTTGGCTGCAGCTTGTCATTAAAGCCAACAGAGGGAATCTTGGTAGGCATGAGAGAAACCAGCATCTGAGGAAGTGATTTCTGGTGGGTGTCTTATAGTCCATCTACTGAGCTAATGCAATGTCTATAGTTTTAGTATGTCAACTAGAGAACTGACTCTGGGAAACCCAGCAGATTTTTGACAAGAGACACCTGGATTGTTGGTGCCAAGACTTGTATCCACCAGAAGTTTGTGCTCACTGCAAAAATTACTGGGCAGAGTTCTGGGACTTGGGCCACCGGAGCCAGAGAAGAGGACCAAAATGGTCTCTACAGACCTTCAAATCCAGGAACTGTGCAAGAACTTATTAGGTATCCTGGAAAGGTACATGCAGGTGGGATCAGAGCCTTTCACCTGCCTCTCCACTTGTAACGTCAAAGTCTTTATGTTGGGGTGGTGGTAATTGTCCCAGGGCAGAAACCAGTCTACATTGCTTAGCTTCATCTCCATCATTTACAGCTTCAGTAGGCCTTCCTGCGGGGTTGGATGGACACTGGGAGCTGCTTTACTCCAGCCTCTGGCACATTCCACATAGGAACCCGAACTTCCACCTTCCAGGAAACCAACCCTTGTCTCAGCAGGTCACCTGAGCATGAAGCCCCAGGGAAGAGCAGCAGATTAAATGATTCAGGGGAAAGGAAAATGAGTCCTCCTTGTGATCTAAGAGATAGAAAAAACCCATAGGGACTTTAACTGGCTTCTTAAGAAGCCGGCATGTAACTATTCAATAGACTAGAGCACACCCCCGCCAGCTAGCCCTAAATAGCAGTTGGAAAGGTAGTTTCCACCTCCCTGGACACACTAGAACCTGCTTGCTTGGGACTAGTCAGCTTCCCTCCAGGCATCCTCTCCAGTTGTTGTGGGCCCCCAGTTGCTTGTGGGCAAGTATTGTTGTGAAATTTGCTTGCAAACATGCAGGAGAACATCTGAATCCAAAGTGAAGCTGATTTTTTATTAGTGCTTTAATCCCTCTGTATCCTAGATTCACCACTGCATTTGAACTGACATCTACCTCTGCCAAGGTCTCAGAGCTGTAGCTAAAATCTTCTAGATAATCCAGAAACATGTCATTGCATTATGCATGTCATGTTTCTGTGCAGCTAGTGGGCTTGCTCGGCCATTTCCAACTTTAGAATAGACACTTTGTGTTTTGATCTCAGAGGGTGGTGTTTACCCAGTAGCCGATGAGAGATCTTTAAAGGAAAAACAGGTATGTGGTACTTTTTCTTCCTTCCATTGAAAGGATCCAGTTTCCAGTTAGAAACTGTCACTGTTAGATCCAGGGTGTTCAAGGTGGGCTAGAGAATCTCAATGTCTTCCTACTATGTGCAACAATTGATGTGATTCTTTCCCACTCTTCTCCAGCTGTAGCTCAGAATCTCTTCATCTTATGCATGGAGCCAGTGAACTCCAGCTGTGCCTCTTGCCAAAGGTGCCCCAAAGACCCACTAAGCAAAATCAGAGATCAGACAAGACTGATGGAGAGGAAGGCCCGCGATCTTTCCAACTGCTATGTAAGTGGTGCAGAATGTAGTGCTATCATTTGCCTTCCAGGGGACATGGCTGGTTGGGGGAAGTCTCACAGGTGACACTCCCAGTCTCTACAGAGGACAGGGCTCTCTGCCAGCCCTAGGAGTTATCTTCAAGGACAACTTTAAAAATCAGGAGAGGGAAGCTATGTTGGCTTCTTGTTTCTGACTGGTACAGACTGATATATACAGACAGGTCGGGACCAATGGACCTAAAAAGATCTCCCTACCTATAGGAGGCTTTGGGACTGGGAGGTGTCCTGTGGGATTACTCTTTGTCATAGTTTGGTGGAACAATTAAACCCCCTTACATATTTGCTGAACCCTGTGTATAGCATATAGGGGCCTCTTCCAAACTTTCTCCTTCCTCAAAAGTGGAAAGATGCCTCTTGGCTTTGGAGGTCCATGCTTCATTTGCTGTGTCAAGCAACATGGTGACTGTTGCAGAGACATATAGTGATTTTGAGATCGTCCTATCCAGCTTTTATCCTTCCCTTAGCAGGGGGGACAAGAAATTACACAAAGCCTTATACCATGCAATGGAATAGAGTCAGTATGACTGTCTGAAACTGTAGCTTGGTGTGCCGGAAGTCTTCAGGATGTGCGTGTGTGGTCGGGTGGGTTAAACTCTATGACCTAGTCACTTTCCCTCAAGCCAAAAGATTCCTTCAAACCCCATCAATGCTTCCCAGAGCTCTGGGCAGAATGTGTGTGTGGAAAGGAATTTGCAGATCAATGAATCATAGATCACTGGAATGTTCAGACATGTCAGGTGCCTCCAGCAGCCAAGCTCCTGTCTTCCACCTGGATGTAGTTATCAAACACTTATTGGCCCATATCTGTTCCTTTCAATGGCACTGTTGATTCCATTTCTACAGACAACCCCACACAGGATGGCTTAGTGATTTAAGCATTGCCTCTGACACACTCGCATTCTTCAGAGCACCACTGACTTGTGTCCCAGCAGGAGCAGCATAGCCTTCTAGCCTTCTCTGTCATAGTAGGACAGCTGGGATGCAAGGAATTTCATGTGGGAGTCTTCATACAAAGTTATTGAAACCACAAGTCTGCATGGTCTGTATGAACACAGAGCTGGGATTCTAGTTCTGTCCTCAGCCAAAATGATACTCTTCTCCTGCTGCTGTGCAGCGTGCCGGCTGCTACTCTCCACCCAAGAAGCAGCTGCATCTCCACTATATTGAAACCACATGTAGTCTGTAAAACACTTGCATCCCTCCAGCACAAAAGCCGCAATAGAGAAGCACGGTCCTGTGACCAAAGCACTAACCTCAGAACCACCAGGGATTGAATCCTTGCCTAGGTTACCAGCCTGCAGAGTAAGAGTTGCTTTATCTGTTTGTGCATCTTAATTTCAACATCCATAAAATGGAACCAATAATGCTGGCTTACCTTGGTGGGTGGTTATGAAAATTAATTCATTAATGTTAGCCAAGAGCGTTGAGATTCTAAGTGAGAAGATGCTATCTTTTCCAAAGATAGTATGTTGCTATTAATTTATAATGATTTATTGGCCATGTGACCTGCTCTGTCTCCTTTACACTGGTTTTCTCTGCATGCATTTTTTGTTTTCCTATCCAGGTGACTCACCAAGGATTGCACAGAACTCATATTGACACTCTCTGTCATGAGCCAGTGCCTGGGTTTCCAAAGGGGAAGATAGTAACTCAACCAGAAATGGACATGCTCCAACAGCTATACAGGACTATGGTGTACATGAACCAGTCACTTCAGATTATCAGGGAGCATCAACAGGATCTGAATGAACCAGATGCTGTACTGCTTCAAGAACTCCGACATGCCCACCTGGCCGTGAGAGGGCTCCTGTCCAATATTGTCTGTGCTTTCTGTGTCCAGGGGGCCTCCCCCAGTCCTGTCACCATCCCAGAGAGGCCTACAGTGACTAAAGCTTTCCAGCAGAAGATAGAAGGATGCAAAGTGCTCTGGAACTATGCTAGGTTTATGGAGAGGCTGGCTAAGAGTCTTAGGGAAAACAGAAAGCAGGTACGGAGAACCAAAATGGGAAGGCGGCAAGGCAAAAAGAAAAAAGCACCCCCAGGTTGCTGACTGAGCCAAGCTGGTGACACAGACTGCTGTTGCCTAGGCCCAGTGACAGGAATGTCCAACTTCTTTAATCCTGAGAAGCACCAGGACCAAGCTAAGCCCAGGTACAACAGGTCTGTCTGTCATCTCCTTCTCTGGGGAGCCATGTCACATCCTACTTCCCCAGACATGTGAGCTAAGGCAAACAGCCCCAAGGAGCTGGATTTTCGAAAGTACTCAGCACCCAGAAGGAACCATGCTCCTCAGTGCGGGGGTGAAACTCAGTCTTGTTCACCATGACTGCTGTGAGAGTCTCCAGAAGTCCTCCCTGGGTATAAAGAAGATGCTTTATTGTTCTTTGGGATCTGCTAACCTTCTGGCCTACCAATACCTTTCTGCAGGACTTCGGCCCAGTTAGACTTTAGGCCCAGTTCAATTTTTTCTGTGATGGGCATAGTGAATGTCTTGGAGTTATATTTTTCATGCTGGTGCCAATGAGAAGAGGAGTGGGTTTAGTATCTGCTTAGTTATTCCCAGCAGGTCAGTGCCTGTCCAGCCTCCCAGCCTGAAAAGCCATTATTTCTGTGGCCAGTCAGAGCAACCTGTTATCCAAAGATGCTCACGTGGTCGAGGCAAGTCATTTATTTCTGATACTGTTGAACAGCTACTGCATTTCATTATTACAAACAACAGGAACATCCTGAATCATGTCTGGTGGCAATAATCATCTGACAAATCAGGGACTCTTTCCATTGTTTATCCAAACATAAGCCACAGTGATAGCTGGACCTTGTATTAGCAGTTACAGCTGTACAAAGCAAGTACAGGTTGCTGTTGAGAATGATAATACTTTGCCCCTAAGTTTGTGTAAGTATAAATAATGATGCAAGATGCAGGGCAGGGGGAACCAGACCTCCAGTCACATGCTTCTGTGGAGATAATTCTGTTGGGATCAGCAGCAGCTCAATTTATTGGAAAAAAATACTATTAATTTCTAATGACTGAATCAGGTATCAAATGCAAATTGTCATTTCCTCATTGGTTTATAAGACATGACCTTTTTTCTGGTTCTTGACTATCTCGACTAGAAAGTTCATTTAACACATGCATGCATGCACACACATGCATACACGCACACACACACACACACACACCTATCACAAGGGAAAGAATATCAAGCAGTCTGGAGGAAAACAGTCATAATGTGGGGAACTAAACACACCCAAACTTTATGACTTTTGAATTTCAAGATTTGTTGCTGCCTATATTTTTTTATATTGACCTCAAACGATGTTCAGTGTCTTTTGCATTGTGTAGATATATCATACAGGTTAGGAAGAGAGCAGTTTTGTGGTGTGAGGTCTTTTCTGCACTCCTGAATTAATTCCACTTGAAATGGAACTCACACATTGACTGAAACTTTTTTTGCACTGAATCACTATATCATTAAAAACAGGTCAGGTCCAGGGAAAGAGGCTCTGGTGGAAGTGCTGTTGACATAAGCCAAAATGCCTTTCTCCTTTCCAAAAATTCTGTGCAGTTTTGCAGAGATAATTCATTACTACAATGCTTGGGATGTTTGCTGTAGAACAGACTAGATTCAGAAAGAGCCTGTGGAGTCAATGTTGAAGACCTGTTTGGGTGTTTCAACCCAAGTTCAATTCAGTGGGCCCAGAGAGATGATTCTGTACTTAGTACAGTAGTTCAATACTTAGTACAATGTGGTGTAACAAAATGCAACAGAAACAAAATGACAACAGCTTTCACTTACTTTGGGTTGGCATCAGCACAGTCACAAGTTACTGGCCAATAGAGAATCTGGTCTGAGGTACAGAAACCTAAATTGTACATGAGGTGAAGAGGTTATGTAAAATCACCCACAGCACAAGGCCAAGGGTTGGGCAAGTAGTCTTGCAGTCTTGACCCTGTGTCAAAACTTTGGCTTCCTTGGAGTAACTCCTGTTTTGCTCCAATATAGGGCAACTGGATTCAAGGAGGCGCATTCATATTGCTCACTTGCACAGCACAGATCAGAGCATGAGGTTATTTAGGGCTGGCAGCAGTGACTGTCCAAACTGAACTTGTTTTTATAACCGGCCTGATTTTCCAGTGATTCAAAGGTCCAGTGACCCAGCCTGACTAAGTCACTGTGTCCCAGGGGGTGAGTGTCTCTTTAGTTAGAATCCAGCAACAACCAGCACATGATCTTAGCAGATAGTTACTCTCTGCCTTCCCTTTGTTGTTCTTTCCTGCAAGGTTTTTATAGTTCACAAGCAAAGGACCAGATCTTCTACTTCTGCTTGCTCTAATTCCATAGATTTTGATAGTCACAGAGTGCATCTACATGTGCAATTAATTTGAAGCAATAAATTCTGGAGCAGTTTGAGTCAGAGTAAACTACTCCCAGGCATAGCATCTACATGTGCACCTGGGACAGCAGCAATTTGAACCAGGATAGAGCAGGGAGCACAGGGGCAGCCCCAGATGGCAGCAGCAGGCAGTGGGCAGCAGAGGAGCTGGCTGGGGCATGAGGATGCTGAAAGTGCAGAGTTGTATGGCTAGGTGGCAGGCAGGAGTCTGGTCCCTTGCTGCCTGGGCTGTTTTATGCCCATGGTCAGCATCTACACTCAGTTTAATCACAGTTAATTACCCTACAGTAAGATAGTAGTGTCCCCAACATTACTATCTTACGGAGGCATTAATTAGTTTACTGTGGCCTAATACTGCTGCACATATAGACAGTGGCACTTTACTCCACAGCTAATTAGTCTACTCCGTAGTTAAGTGCCCGTGTAGACATGACCACAGTGATTAATACCAGCCAAGCATGTGGCCTGGTCTTTTACACTGCCATCAAGATAACTCGAGCAGAGTTTAAACTCATCACTAGTATCTGGGAGTGGTATCTGCTGGTGGTGCTGTGTTGTTGTCTTATGGTATTATCACATTATACCCGCACAGGGTAGGATGACACTGACTCCAACTTAATGATCTCTGACCTGTGACAACCATCACACCATGGTTTAAACTAATTTATAGAGCAATATTTGTACAGTTTCTGTATTTATTAGATGGAGTGATTTAATTTAAAATATCTCTGCACTGGAATATCTATTTAAAACTGATATTTTAATATATATGTATATTTGTCTATGTTTTTAATATGTTAAAATGTGTGTAAGCATATTTTATTTATGGATTGAAATATTTTTATATTGTGGGCAAGACCTACTATGCATTCATTTCCAGGAGGTGTAAATCATACCAATTTATTTTTGTATAACAAGATTTTTGATTAAGTAAAGTAATGGCTGTCCCAAATAGTTGTCTGCTCAGCTTAGTTGGTGAAGAAGTAGCTAAAAATATGGGAAGGGTAAGCACCCCATCTAATTCACTTCTGCCTTTTGGCTAGCAATGATTCACCTGGAAAGACTGGACACATCCAGATGGACACACACATGTGCGTTGCAATACCTCAAACCTGTTTGAGGTGCTGCAAGCCACGTGTGGCGCCGCACTGTGTGTCGCGGTGTAACTGTGTGCTGCACTGCAGATTTGATACCAGGAACTCCTGGTATTAAAAAAAAAGTAGCAAGAAAAAGCATCATGACACATGGTCCAGGAGCAACTGGAAGCTGGATCCTCCAGGCAGATGCTCTGTATGGTGGCCAGACCATCTCCCCTCCTTTAGGACCACCCAGGCTCCTCCAGCCTGCTAGGAGCCAGGAGAAGCAGAAAACAGGCAGTTTGCCCAAAGCAATGCATTTTGCCAGAAAGAGACTTGTAAAAGCACCTAATCTCTGAAAGTCAAGCTGGGTGTCTTCCTTCTAGTGTAACATTGTCATGCCATAATAGTTTCACAGGACCATTTCTGCCCACACCGTTAACGGGTTTCTTGCCAACCAGTAAGCAATGGGAAATTAGCAAGCAGTTTTGTTGGTAATGCATGAGCAGGAAGAGAACCCAGTTCCTTTTCTTCTGCAGTGGAGGAAACCTAGATAAAACCTTCCCTTAGTCACTTAAGTCAGCAGACACAATTTAATGTGCACCAGGCAGATCTCTTGAGTGACCAGGGGGATTTTTTTACATACATATTTTTCAGAGTAGATCAATACTTCCAGTTTCTGAGGTACACACCTTCAAGCCTATCTCTGGACAACCTGTTCTATATCCAACCAACCCCTGAACAATGGAGCACTACAAAATCTGGCTGTCATGAAGAACTTATTTCTTTCCTGCTAGAGTAGTCTCCTGTTAAAGTCAATGGCAGATTTGCCTGAACAGATGGTCCATCCATGCTAACTGTTCTTCTTAGGTGTTCCCCATAATCATAGTTTGCCATCCCCTAATGAAAAAAACAGTTCCATGGATTTCAGGTTGGCCTGAGTGCATTTGGGGGAATTAGAAATTCACTTTTAATTCCCCTGTTTTCCCAACTTGTGTAATCATTCATCTTACCTGTTAGGGAAGGAAGTGGCCATTGTTGAGAAATACAGCATAGTGAAGATAACAGCTGGAGCTACTTGGGAATGTAGGAATTGCCAGAGTGGCTTGAACAAGTCAGCCATCCTGTCTGTGGCAGTGGCTATTAGTAGATGCTTCAGAAAAAAGTCATATATTCCCTACAACATTCAAAGGGAAAGCTTCCTCCTAGTCCTAGTGTTTGGAGACTGGGTTATCCTCTGCAACGTAAGTGTTTCCAAGTGCTTTGGTCTGGAAGAGGGAAAAATAGCAGAAATACAGCATTTACTCAACTAAATCAGAACACTGGTTTGTTTTGGCAGCTAGAGATATATGGTAAGCCGCAAAAGCTGTTAGTTACTCTAGATAAGGGGGGTTGGCCTGCATCTCTGGTACCTCCTTCTGAAAGAGTACAACTTTGGCGGATATTTCTACCAAGCTGAGAATCTTTCCAGCTAACTGGCATTCTCACATACCTGTAGTAATGAGACAACTCTACTACTAGTAGAGAGGAGAATTAAGGTACAAATACATGGCATGATTAGTATGGAGTATTTTACCCCATATTTTACTGTGTAGTAAATTTGCTGTAATAAGGAGTGGACATATTATCAACTCTCAAGCTAGCTGCCTGAAGCAAATGATGTTACAGATCCCGGCTAGTAGATGGGAGGGAGTTAGTTTGCACTGAGCAAAGAAATACCCACAAGATGAATCTGCCTAAGAGACCTGTGATGAACCTCGTTGAAAGGGCAAAAGGCTTGCTGATTGGTGTTGTCCAGGCTGGAGAACCAGACACCAGCCTACAGAAGCAGATACAAACACATCTCACATAGACACCTTCCCATGAGGTAAAGTTATTGCACATTTTTTCAAGGAATAACTTTACCCTGGATTTAAGTGATCTACTCTGTACTTGCATCTCCCTGAATCATGTATCTCCCTGCTCAGCATCCCTAGCTATGAGGCCTCCTATGGCCTGAGGCTCCAATCCTGGTTTTCCCAGACTTGATAAAGAAAAGTATATAAGATCAGAGTAGCCAAAAACCTAAGGGTTGAAGCAGTCCCCATTGTGCAGATAGCTGTTATAGCTCTGCAAATTGTTACATTTGGCTGTTTTAGAAGGTAATGGAGAAGAGGCCACATGTGCTACCTGGGGCAGTTGGTGATAGCTCTCTTAGTAGAAGCTTGTCTTTTACTGTTACTTTCAATAAGTTGCATTATAGTTTGTGGACTCTGGCTATCTGACTTGCTGATCAAGGTACCAAACAACACACCTAGGATAAGGAGGCTTGGGTTCCAATGCCCACGAGAGTTGGAGTAAGGACTTGAACCCACAGCCCAAGGAGGTTCCCTAAATCCAGGTTGCAGGGTGTTCTGGGTTAGGTTACTGCCAGCCTCTTCTATTACAGATGTTCTACTTTATTTAAATAATTAGTTATATATTGGAACAGAGAGAGAAATGGGAGGCAGGGAGGAGCTACAAAAAGTTGGTTTTCAGGGCACCCACCTGACCTATGGGAGACCTGGGTTTAAGGTCCTACTCCAAATCAGGCAGGGCAGAATTTAAGGCAGGTCTCCCATAGGCTAGGTGAGTACCGTAGCCACTAGACTTTTCTGGTGAGATACACAAATTGATTTTTTTTCTCCAGATTTTTGTGTTTATTCCATCCAGTTTAGGCATGCTCTGAGCACACCCACAGAATCAGGCCAAACTGGCAAAAAAGGCAGGGAAGTACCTAATTTGAAGAGAACGGTGTGTCTACACATGCAATTAATTCAAAACAATAAACTCCGGAGCAGTTTGAGCTGGAGTAAACTACTCCTGGGTGCAGTGTCTACACATGTGGCCAGGACAACAGCAATTTGAGCTAGGGCAGAGCAGTTTATGCCAAGGCTGCTCCTGTCCTGCTCTGCCCCTGGCTCCAGGTGGTGGCATTGGGCAGTGGAGGGGCTGGCTAGGGCACAAGAGTGCTGAAAGTGTAGAGCTGTGTAACTAGGCAGCGGACAGGAGTCTAGCCCCTTGCTGCCTGGGCTGACCAGGTGCAATTTATGCCCCCAGTTAGTGTCTACATGTGTGTTTAATTACAGTTAATTACTCTGCCATAAGATAGGACTGTCCCTGATAGTACTGTCTTACAGCGGTGTTAATTAGTTTACTGTAGCCTAACACCATCACATGTATAGACAGTGATGCTATACTCTGCAGCTAATTAATTTACTCCACAGTGGGCGCATCTACGTGTGTGCATTTACTGCACTGTAACCGAAATTACTGCACAGTACAGGCACGTATTTACACGTACATACCTGTACTTTGTAGTAAATGGCAACTTATGCTAATTTGAGTGTAAATTTGATACTTGCATCATGCGGGTATCAAATATATGCCTGATTAGTTACTACACAGTAATGCATGCGTATATGCTTTACTGCACAGTAACACTGTGTGTGTGGACTAACTTGGGATTAACTTTAGTCCAAGTCAGTCCAAACACAGCATTAATGTGCTTGAATGCCTGCATGTGTAGATGCCAGCCTATTCCCAATTACTGCGCAGTAATTTACTGTGCAGTAAATTTAAGACGGCATAAATGCATGTGTAGACACCCCCAGTAAAGTGCACATGTAGACATGGGCACAGTTATGGGTAAGGCATCAATGTATTCCAGCAATTGCCAGCTATTGAATTGGCCTGTTGGGGGTCATAACCAGCCAGGAATGCTCCCAGCAGCCTTGAGTCTGATCCTAAGATCAGGAAGAGATAAAGATGTCATAAAGACCTTCCTTCCTCTCACAGCTTTGCCAGAAACTTCTCCAGCCTAGCTCAAGAGAAAGCCCAGCAGAGTATACTAGAGAATGGGTGGAGATCACACTTTTAGACTAACCTGCAAAGACTGAATCAACTCTAGCTCAGGTTTAAGGTCCTACTCCAAATCAGGCAGGGCAGAATTTAAGGCAGGTCTCCCATAGGCTAGGTGAGTACC